CGCGTTATCCTCGTCCGTTAAACGGTTCCATTAAACAAAATTTCCGCCTGGACTTTCGAAGAATAATGGACACACGCTTAATCCTCGCGCGGGCTCGTCAATGCGGGACGAGACGGACGTGTAAACGACGCGTTTATTAAAACGGTGGGGTCACTCGCGAAAGCTTCGCGCCATCAGCGCGCCGGGTACGTAATAAAAAGTCCCAAAGCCGATAATCGTATAATTCATTCGACGGATTTGCACATCGACGCCGTGGCTGCTGCGCGCTGTGCCAAATCCGTGAAATAAAAAACAAATTCGAGGCTCGATCGCGTCTGGGTACCGTTTCGCGCGCGTAGAGTAACTTTGGCCAAAATCGGATCGAAGCTACGGGTGTCAATGGGAAGGTCAACGTGAGACAAGGAAGAGTAAAATCAAATTACGGTAGAAATGGCTTCTTCCAGAGGGTTTCGTTTTACTTTTTGCTTTGTAAACGAAGATAGAGGCGAAGATTTATTTTGGATACTTCTTTCTTGAAATTTTAAAGACTACCATCGAGTATGATTAAACTTGCGAGATTTTAACGTTACAAGTAACCAGAGAATAAATAAAGACGATGAAAACGCTTGAGAGTAAAGCCTCTCTGTTCCCTTAATATTAATTGATCATATATCGGAAATGGCGGCCGAGGTATCATTTTACTTAAAATTTTAACCAGTTTCAAAGGTATCGCGGACGAGCACCCTCGAAATGGCGCGCACAACGACGACAAGATGAAAGACAAAATCTCGACGGAAGATCAGCGTAATCCGGTTGTTTGCCGCCGATAGAATCGTTGCTGCTGCTTGGCCGGCTTTCCTCGTTCGTAGACGGGTCTACACAACCAGAGGCCTGTGTACCTGCGGCGGGGTTACACGTTTGCCTTTGTACACCGGTTCGTGGTCACCTGCTGCTCGAATTTGCACTAGCCAGCCTAAATACAGCACCGATGAAATATACAGACGTGTGCGGCTGTTCCGCTGCACGCCGGCCGGCAAACAACCGCCGCAGACTCCTGCCCTCTTGTATTCGATCGCACGACGAGCCTTTAACTAGATAATTAACGATTCTCTGGACGCAAAGGCAGCCCGTGTCACGCCCGCCGGAAGAATCGTGCAAACGTTTAACGCTGAATAAATCGAACTCTCTTTCTGATCCACTTTCGCAGGTTCTTCGACAGAACGCTATTAAACGAAAATTAAAAATAAAGGCTTGGTATTTAAAAGCTGGAAATTAAGAATCACGCGGTATCGCGATACTCGTAATTTGTTTTTCGCTTTTGTAACGTATACACTGTCTCGCGTGCAATTTACGGAAATGATGTCTTTTGAAATGACTTCTTGCTTCGACTGATGTTGAAACCCGAAGAAACGAAAATTCATAGCCGATGGGACAACTAATTGGGCGCGCCAGACGAAGTTTGAAGAGCCCCGGAAGAATTTTTACCCCGAGATTATGGGAATTCTAGTGAATTATGCGCGCACGACAAGTTCAAAAGGAAAGTTTCAAAGTTGGAATAAAAAAAGGAAACGTACGCAGTCGGTACTTTTTGAAGTGTTCAAGAGGGGGTGGGAGTTTAAACGTTTCAAGGACTTCGAAACAAACATTCTGCGCGCGGTTAATTTTCCGCTGAACGTTTCCTGCTCATGTTAAAAGCCTTCAGAGCCGCATTTATGCACTCAAATTATTACCAAACGAGAACTTTCAAGTCGAAAGTTTTCTAGGAAAAAAACGTCTCGCCCGCGTGCCCCCGTTCGTGCGGGTTCGTTCGATTGCGCGTTTAATCGATTACTATATAATATCTGAGAAACAGCATTTATCAGGTTTCGACACGAACGGCATTTATTATTACAGTTTCAGTTTCCGAATTCAGACTGGCAATTATTATCGCGATTCAAATTGAAGCGGTGGTGTGTCTTTTTAAAAATTGAAAATATCGATGAAATTCTGAATAATTCACGTATAACGTACTTTTCATTTGAAATAGAACTGCTTGAAATTGTATCTCGCAAACTTACCAAATCGCAGAATCGAAACGTCGGAGTAAAAGTTGGATTCCTTACGAAGAGAGGAGAAATGTCGCATCGGGACAGAGAGCGGGAAACATGCCCAATGTGAAATCTCCGTTTTCGTCGGGATACACTGAAATGCTTTTTGCAACAGTCGCAAAATCTTTCGCGAACCTAAAAGCTCATTGCTGTAATCGAATCGCCACTGGCTGAACGCGGTAAGGCTTGATTTAACAACCGTACTGAAATAGGGTGGTCACGGTACGAGCGCAGACCGTTTGCAATACGTTTTACCATTATTCTCCGCGTTCGAATTGACTGGATCGCGAAACATTATGGGTGCCAATACTGACACCCATAATGCTGCGCCATGTGTGAAATAGATGCTCAGGAATACTAAAATAGGTGTTCAATTATACCGTAGGCAGAGACATGTAAATAAACTAGATTAAACGGGCGATGTGGGTACAGGGCGTACTAAATGGAACGAACAAACTAGGTATTCAGATGTCCCAGATAAAATAGGCGAATGGATATTCAGTTATGTCATTGGAACCAGGCGAATTTGGTATTCCGATATATCAGGTAAAATAGGAAACGTGCGTGTCAGGCTACAGTAGACAACACGGTGTGGTTCTAACCTAACAATGTTAGGTTCACAGTAATTCACGAGTAAATAACGTACGAAGATTAAGTGTGTCATATACGTAAGGTGATCGTACTAATCGAATAGATGGATGCTCGTATGCGTGATATTAGATAAAATAGATAGCAGAGGCTTAGGTTAATGCTAGCAATTTCATACGAGCCACGAAACCGTCCAGAGCTTAGATCGAGATCAAACTTAGTTAGTGGAATTCTATGCGAGAAAAACACATAATGAAATTTAATCCCCCGAGTATCGTAGCAGGGCGTAATCCTCTCAACATTTCAACCACGCAATAATCTATGCGAGTCACTTGACAATACACTCCTCAAAGCATTCGGAGAATCTTGTTTCCAGTGAATGAACCAAACGCCAGGGATTAATCATGCATTCTCTATCCACTAAAGTAGGATTATTATTAAAATTTTACCCTTCAGTGTACGCTGAACTTTCGAAACACTAACGACGTCCATTTCAAATTGCGGTGCTCGAATTTGAATTGGAATATCCGCAGAGTGACTCGCGTACAAATAAATCTTTAACGTATATCTTGGATGTTGACCTCTCGCTTCGAAGCCACTTTCGAAACTCGTAAATATATAATTTGTAATATTCGTAAGGATCCGAAGTTGACTCCGAAGCGAAGGATGTCCAGAATCACATGATTCGTTTCGACAAGCGTTTCCATCGTCGTCGCGTCCGATTTCTCCGGTCAGCCGTTCAGTTTTCATCGAAAGTTTCTTTTTCGTTCAAAATTCCTCGGAACGTTCGCGTGTCTGTAACGCGTTTCGATCGACAAAGGTTCGATTAACCGGCGCGATTTCGAGTTAATTCCGTCGCGTCGCTCGCGTCGAAGCAAAATTGCACCGCGAAACTGCTTGCAACGAGTGACGAAGAAAAACGAGAAACGCGACGCGCGTGCTGTCTTTTCCCACTTTTTTTTTTTCCACCGCTCGTAGTTTCATCGAAGTACAAAGGGAGAGGTCAACCGGACCGTAGGAAAATTTCGTGATGCTCGCCGATAGGTCTGTCAGAGGTTTAATCGATGACTCCCGATGTACAGGATAGAGGCGGTTGAAAAAAATAAATATTTACGCTGACGCACACTGGCCCGAGAATTTATACCTAGGACTACGAAAATAACTGATTGATTCCATTCGAAGCCAGTCGTAGGAAAAAAGTCGATAAACAATCCAACGAGGGAGGCTTCCACGTGCGAGGGAATAAAGGATAGGAACTGAAGGGGACGTAGCAGGTAGTTTGATGACTTTTGTCCTTTGAAAGTTGGGATCGTTCATTTTACGAAAGCATTTAAATTCCCTGAATTTCGCTTTCCATTTGATTAGAGTGTTTTATTTCAAACGCGAGGCATCAATTATTTATAGTATTTGAAACATACTTTCTCTAAATTTTATTCAGCTTTAACGAGATACTTGTTCGTAGAAATTTCTTTCTAGAAGAGCAGGTACTTTTAAGCGTTTCTTTCTCCTCGACTCGTTCTACTATATTTTTTGTTTAAAGGCGAAACCTCTCGAAACCTCGCAGACTCGATTGTTGTCTTCTTCGCGGTACGTTCTGCGTCTTTCGATGTCTGTTCGTCAATTTCCACCTCGACGTCATTATTGTAACGTTCGTCGTACCATTAAAAAGTTTTATTTTTCCCTTGCATTCGATCTCCTTTAAATGTTTACGTTGAAAGATGCACGGGAACATTTCTCTGGATTCAACATCGCTACGTTTACCCGAGCTTCTACGGCTTCCGGTTCATTTCACGGAAGCGATGTTGGTTGCACCTGCGATTTTTCATCGTGAAATCAAATATTCGTCCATTTTGTTGCGAACTTACCGTAAGCACACTTTTATATGCTTTACACGGTATTGCGGATACATATGCAACGGCTAAAATATTAATTGGGACAAATGATATATTTGAAAATGGGTAATTAATATTTAACTTGATAATACCTTATTTCACTTTAAAAACATTCGGATGCACTCGCGAAAATATACGCGTCCGCTACCATTACTTTGCTTCATATTATTTTAATCGCTAAGCACGACTTTACCTAATTATCTTGGGGCTGCGCACGTCGAGTTAACTTCGGCGCTACCTTCAAGTGGTTAACTGCTAATTGTAACTGTATTTCAGCGACGTTAATTTTAATTGAAACGAAGACAAACCTATTCAGTCTTTGTCGCAAGCAACTTCATCAACGACGTTTCGACTTATTAAAACTAAAAATATGGCAGCTCGGCTCTTATCTCGATATTCTTGTTTCTTTTCGATGAGTTAATTTTACTGATTGTTATTTGCAATTGTGTTTCAGGCGAACGAGGGCAATACTTCCGAGTGACGCCAAGGAACAGCTCGGTCCTCGAAGGTGGCGATGTAACGATACCTTGCGAGGTGGAACACAGAGTCGGCATTGTGCAATGGGTTAAAGATGGCTTTGCTTACGTCATTCAACCAAGTGAGTGCATCGATCTCGCTACTATTCATTTCTATTATTGAAACGCAGCATGAACTCGAACCTCCGAAGCGAAGATTTTTCTATAAATTCATGAAAGATTTAACGTTTAACTTTGTTTAAATTTAAAAAAAAAAAATATATTCTTTCATCGATAATTCGTATACTTCGTAATAATTTCGATTGAATAATAAAAATTCAAACGTCAACGGCTGTAAAATTAATCGAGAATCCTGATCGTTCGATAATAATCGTGGATTACATTTCGTCCAACACCGAATTCAACTAACGACGTTCTCATAATCGCCGCGATTGCATTTATCAGAATAAGCATTAGGGCATAGAATGTTCGCGCAGAAATGAACACAACTCACGCGTCTAGCCACCGAGCATTCACTATTAATCGATAATCACCGTGTTCTCGACCTCGTTGTGGGTTCTATTTAGCAAATATTTTCTCGAAATCCGCGAAGCACAAATTTTGACGATAATTAGTAGGATAAGTACCAAGCCGAGGAGAGCTCCGAATGATTTTCGGTGTTCGATAATTGTACCGCTATAACGTCCATTTTGTATCTCGTGCATACATTCCACGATTTCGATTATTCTACCGGAGCTTCTACGTTGGCTCGAACGATTTTCGCGAGTACCGTTAGACCAAGTTGAAAACGGTTTCGATAAATCTTGCATGGATTATACGAATTGTCAACCTTACGACTCCCGTTGAAGCTCGGTCGAAGTAGAACGCGGACGCGATGAATTCAGCGAGACCAGCCCCGCGGATTCCTCGCTTCTTATTACAGGATCTTCGAAAGTTCGTTTAATAACTTCATCTTCCTACCTTAAAGAGGACCATTAGTACTCGCAATATTAATGGAGCGGAACTATCTCACTTTCTCTGGCGCTGGATATTTTAAAACGATTTAAACCCTCTTCTGGGGGAGAGAACCGTGCGACGTGACGTCATCGTTTTTCAACAAAAGCTTCGCGAACCACAAAAGCACCCCCACTCTCCCACCCCCCCCCCCCCCCCCTCTTCAGTGTCACGGTTTTCAGGTCTCGGCGCATTATTCGATTCGCATTCGTAGCCACCGACGACCTCGTACGAGGACGACTGTGGCATAAAAGAAGAATAATTGGATCCTCGACCATCGAAACCTTTATTAGCCGCACTTCTCAATGACGCGTGACCCAAATTTTTCAAACGTCACGCAGCCGCATAATTAGACGCCACGGAAAAACGTCCGATATAACACCTCGTGAAAAATTATACGTTTATAATTCGAGTGCAGGCTGGTGTTTTTTTTTTTTTTTTTGTTGGAAATGTGTCAGAGAAGACTTTTCGCTAAGGTAACGGTATAATAATATACGAGCGAGCATACAACTCGAAGAAATCTAAAACAGGCTATTCGAATGATTCGCTTGCTTTCAACAGTAGAAATAGAATATGTTAACGTACGTCGCAGCGTCGAAAAGGGTGTCTTTTAAACGGAAAAAATTTTATGAAAAGAAAACTGGTCTTTGAATTTGATAATTTGTTTAAGTACGTTTAGAAAAATTTTAATCTTCGCGAAGATCCCTAATCTGGCTGAGAAAATTCCTTGATCGTTTGTAATTGCATACCTTTCGAATGGACGAGTCGTATTCCACGACGTTATCTTTTTTTCGCGAGGATTCCGTTGGCAGAAACGCGAGCCAGATGATTAGCGGTTCGATTAGCACGCCGTTTGCCGTGGCAGAGTAAATTTTTCGCGAAAGGCAAGGTTGACAGAAGGTAATGACTGCGATGAAACCGTCCGCCTCTATCGATTATGCATACATCACCGCTCTTATCGAAAAGCAAATGGCAGCACGTTGCAGTATTTCCTGGCAAATGACATGTGCCTTCGTCCTTTATAAGAGCCGTTCACGTTTAATTTACGATTTGTCTTTGAGTTACAATACGCCCCTAATGCATTATGATGCTTTCCTTTTTTCTTCCTGAAACCTTTCACCATGAATATTCTTGCACCCTACACATCGAACGATCATTAATTTCCGTTGTTTAAGTCGGGTATCGAGAACGTTTAATAATTTATTGCAATAGAGTTCTAAAAAATGTGTACTCATATTTTAAATCGCGGAAACTAGAATTTTCATTATATCGCCATTGTAATATTCTCAATTAATTCGTCATGGTTAATCAGGAAGAGACGGAGTTGGTATAAAAATTAGGTGATCGAAGTCGAGGATGGGTTTCACGTGAAATTCCGCAGACACGTCATAGCTGGAATAATATCCTTTTTCAGTTTCCCTCGTTATGACTGTAACAAGCTACCATTTTTCCCATAAAAGGGACGGAGTTGAATGTAAGTTCGCGATTGTTCTTTTCCTCTATTTTCTTATAGAACGAGACTCTTGACGACGTCTTCGTCCCTCGTTAAACGCGAGGGGTGTGTTCCTGGCGCAACATGGTAGACATGCGACATCCACGGAACATCTTCAAAATACTCCAACAAAATTAGAATAAAATAATACCGTATAATATACAGAGCATCTTTGTGTCGAAAAGAATCTCAAAGACGAAGTCAGCAAGACCTGGAAAAGCAGAGAGAATTTTCCAGAACGAAATCACATTTAACGTCTCGTCAGAGTGGGCAGAATTCAATTAAAATAAGGTTAAAATAAGATTAAACTTTCTGGGATATCTTAACGAGGTATCCAACTCTTCCACTATAATTGAAATATAAATGATGTTAATAATATTAACCGGTGCCCCGTTCTGAAACGTCTTAAGAACGCATTCAACTCTTTTACAGCAATTAAAATATAAATGACGTTGATGGCATTAACTGGGGCTCGCGAAATCGTTTTAATACGGAGAACGAATCGAAATAGCGCTCAGACGAAAATAGGGATTATTCTTTGTTAAGATGTGAATCGAAAATGCGCAGTGAAATTTGTTTCTGGGAGGCTTCGTTTACGAGGAAATTAATTTTTAAGTTCGTCGAGTACGCTCGGTTACGATTTCTTTAACGTGTCTGACCGTTACTCGTTACTACTACTTGCGTTGGTGTTTATAAATACTCTGCAATGGTTAATCGTTTGGAATTGCTTCGATGGTAGTACGATACATGGAAAATGGATATTATCGCGCGGTGTGACAATATTATATTACAATCACGAATGAAATAATCTGTAGAAACGCGGACGTAAGTAGAAACAGCGCGCACTGGTCAGACACGCCAGCCATGCCGTACGCGTAGCAGATGAATGTTCAAGTTCGATTTACTTAAGAATGAAACCTCGTATAAGCGAAATGTCGTACCACATTTTTTATTCACTTTTACACGAAAAATAACCCCCTTTCTCGGTTTCTGTAAGTAAGCTTGCATATTTAGGAAACGATCATTCCGTCTTCGTTTCGGAGCTTCGAGTCGATCAGAAACAATATAAGAATTTTTTCTTGAAACAAGTAACACGAGAATGATATTATTCGCGTTTGATTTCCAGGTGGTGATATCGTTGGACATCCAAGACTAAAGCTGATAGGAGATCAAAACGCAGGCATCTATAATCTGAAAATCACCGACGCTTCTCTGACGGACGATGGCGAATATCAGTGCCAAGTTGGACCGCATTTGCGCAGCAAACCGATCCGTGCCAATGCTCATCTCATCGTCATATGTGAGTAATCTCTTATTCCATCGTTAATATCATAAATAGTATACATACATTTATGAACGTGTGTCGCGTCCCCAACTGTGACGTCAATTTTATTAATATATTCGTGTTATCCATAGTTCAAGTTGGTCGATTAGCCAAATGAAAATGGACATATGAAATGGGATAACGTGTATAAATGATGGATTGGATCAACTAAAAATGGAGCACGTGAATAACCACGAACATTATATTAATCAAATTATAAAGTAACTTCGAAAGAACGGTATCGAACCGTGGTTAGCACTTGAAAGTAATTAAAGGAATTTTCGTAATTACTTAAGGAACATTCATTTCTTTAAGCAACTTCCTCTTACAGAGGGCTCTGGCGCCATAAATAATTCTTCGAGCGGAAATACCTCTTTTTAAATCATTTTTCAGCTCGGAAACTGTAAAAGTATGTAATTCCATTCAGTGACGCTAACAAAGAACATCCCACCCTGATTTTGATGAAACCTCGTGTGTTCGCGGAGCGGTAAAAAGTAAGGAATACGTATTTTTTTAATGAGAGTAACTCGAGCTTACGGCGCGGGACTACCTTCTAAAGTTTCTTCCTTTAATCCTGGCTTGAAAACTATCGGGGATAGAAAGACATTTTTTTAAAGAGACACTTTATTATCCTTGGCGCAACATCGGTAATAAAAACTTGAACAAAGATGTCTGGAAACCACTTTTTCCGCATTTTGTATACGTTTGAAAGAGCGTTTATTTCTAATTCGTTGACGCGATTAAAAACATTCAACGAATAAATGTTGAAATGGTCTTTAGACGTTAGGCTCTAGGGTTGGATAAAGCTCCCCTTTCAAAATAAAACGTCGCTGGAAAAATTCGAAACAGCAAACGTGGAATCTATAAAATAAAAATTTACTCGATATACCTAATATTAAAACCGAGTCTAAAGAATACTTGCTCTCCACTTTCAAAGAAACAATCAATTTCCTCGACGCGTTTAATCGTAATGACTCCGAGCTGAAATTTATATTTTCATCCTACTTTACGCGTAACGTATACATTACGAATTAACCGTGAAACTTTCTTTACGGTTTGCCTGGAATAGTCGGGGCTGCTGTGCTTCTTTTTCTATTATTTTGCCCGCCATTGTTCCGCGTGAAAAATGAACCGACGTCTTGATCGCTGTTACACGGGTACATGGCACATAAAATTATGGTAGATATTTTGCGATGCACCGTCCCGACGCGAGCGGAAAGAAAACGGGGCAATTCCCGCGAACCGAAAAAACGCGATAATTCATGGTGTTTCTATACGCGTATTATTCGTTCGCGTTCATTCACATTCCGAACTCGATTACGTGGCCGGCTGGACAATGAGACGGAAAAGTTAACTATTTGTTTAAACTCTGAACAGTGGTTTCACGCGCGGCAAATGAAAATGAAAGAACCGTGAACCCTGACAAGCGCATTTAAATCTAACGATAATTAATGAACGTGTATTATATACTTGGAGAAAGGAGCGTTAATAAACCGAGTGAAAATACGAGACGTCATCGCGAGGCTCTTTTCGCACATTTTTTTGATGATACATCGGGAACGGATGCGCGATATTCCATACAAGGGGCTCGGTTGAAAGGATTTTACGATTAAAAAACGCACAGTACTCGCTGGATCGAGTGATCGGATAATACAGGTTGAGAAATTAATCTCGTCAGAAAAATTCGAGCAGAGAGTTGTACGATTTGTAATTTTTCTATAACTGAAATTTTAACGTATTTTTCATTCGATTTTGGTAACACACATGTACAGTATATAAATACCGAAGTATATCTGTATATACTTTACTAAAGACTCGTATACATTCTTAATAAGTTTTCGAGTAGTTCGAACACAATTTTGGACGCAATATCGAAATCCTCGAGAACCACGCCGAACATTCGATAACCCAGTGTTCGATTCTATAAGCGACGTAGCAACTCCGAATTTGTACTCGTTTGTAGAATAAAGTTATAGAAACTAGTCGACGTTGAATTCGCACATGCTCGCGAACAATCTGCGCCAAACTCGGTTACCCTGAGCAATCATATCGCGAACTCCGTGTGTCGAACAACTCCAATTCTGGCCAATTTGATATTAAAAGTAATCGAAAGTAGGGATATTATCCGTTACGTTCAATATTTCAACTCGTACACCTTCATTGATATTAATAATATTGTGCTATTGTATTTCCGGAAATAACACCGATGCAGATTATTTTGCGATTTCCGAAGAAATCGAACATCGAATAAACAACGAAATTAGTTCGTTAAAATAAATATAAATTTGAGAATTTCGTGGAAAACAACAACGCGATTTGACCCCACGCTGGATAACCTTTACGCAAGTAGACAGTTAAAGTTTCTTATCTCGAAACCACGCTTTCAAGCAACAAAATGAGAAATTTCACGCGGAGACGAGCACCCGTTTCCGTATGATCGAGTGCGCTTTCGACGAATCTGACTCGAATAGTCGGCCCGAACTACCGAAGTTCGATACTACAATCGGGTGTGCAAGCGCGGTGCCGATGCGGTCGACTTTCCACGTTAACAAAGACATTCCCCCGGTGAACTTATTCCAAAGTTACCAGCCAGAAGTGGTAAACCCTGATTAGTAACGGCGCGGCGTAAACCTTGAAACGCAGCGGCGGGTGAACTAGTTCGCGAGTTTAGAAAATGCCTTTTCCGATACGTGCACGTGTACGAATCTGTTCGCCGGGACGTTACGCGTCGTGCGAAGTTCCTTAAATTTCTCCTCATTGTTGTTCACCAGCTGGATCCTTCCAATTGTATCTCCCGTTGGCCGGGTATTCTCGCGAGAAACGGCTAAGCTCTTCTAAGCGGGGGAAGATTTTCGTCGTAAAATGGAAAGTTTATTTTCTCAGACTTTTTTTTTTTTTAGGAACTCACCTGGTCCTAATGTACACAATTTTATAGAAAAATAGATTTATATCGTTGAGAATTCGCGTTTCAAATCTGCGTATCAGTATGAACAGACGAAGTAGGTAGATTAGAAGGAAGTAATGTCCTTTAAAAAATTGATCGAATAAAAGCTCTTCTAAAAATGGAGTCTTGTAACTAGACTGCGGTTCTTTATGCAAAATAAAATCATTGTAAACGTACCTACAAAAACTGAACCCAAATAGGAGTTTATTTTACTCTGCAAGTATTGTAACATGAACTTTACGTTCAATATTTTTTATATATTATTGCACGTTCAGATTTTCTATAAATGAATCGAAATCTGCAGTCTACTTACAACTATCCTTACTCTCTGTGTCTATCGAGGAAATTTGTCTAAATTACATTTTTTTCATAAATGTGGATATAATATAAAGTTTCCACGCGTACGTACGTATAACGGAATATGTATTCAGAAACTTCGAATAACTGACCGTAGATCGTAACACGACTGCGATCAGACGATTTCAGAGACCTCGAGCCTTTTTTCAAAGAGCTCCTTATTTCGATGATTACACGCGTAAGATACGAAAATATTCAATGATAACGTCTCACCTGACTCCTGCTCCCCCGCATGAAATTCCCATTAGCTGAAATTTTCCCTGGCCACGGAATCGAATGCAATCGATTTCCCTCGCGCAGCTGGCGGCGTCGAAGAACGAAGATTACGAGAGCGATTCCTCCCCGGTGTCACAAAGACCCAGGGAATCGTTTATTCAGGAAACGGGGAGGCGTTTCCCGATCCGCGTTTCAAACGACCGTCCTTCCCCCATGGATATCGTCGTCAGTCGTTTACAGAGACGTTCCATGGCGACGAGGCCTTTAATATTTCACGCGAAACGAGACCGGTGGTCGTTGGCCCGCGTCGCGACGAGGCGTCGTCGCATGCCTTCCGGTGAACAGGTCGTTTCCGCAAAGCGCGGAAACGAGTTGACCACCGAGTGTTGTTGCGCAAACTGCACGTGGCCTTAGGCGCGAAAAAAAAAAAGAAAAAAGAAAAGAGGGAAAGAAGAGAAGTGGAAGGAAGGAGGCGTCTCTCGGGGGAAAAAGCTCGCGTCCACGAGAAACGGTTCTAGGTAAACGCGATCCCCGAAGACTCTTCCTTGTCCCGCCTTGGGGACGCTTCTTAACTCTTTTTTCTTCCCCCTCTCCCACCCCTGTCTTTTTGGCGCCAACAGTACGGAATTGTGGAGGTCCGCAAATATGTGTTCTCCTATTCGCTGGGAAAGCGGGAGAGACGATTACTTTCCGAAAGGGGGTGCCTTAGAATTTTTCTACTTTGAACGAAGAGGTTCGTGACTACAAATATTGGGCTGATTTACGAATGACTTCCGCTGCTGGGAACAAATAACCCCTCTGCTGGTAGCTATGTTTAATTTGCCTGGCCAGTAGGAACGAGAAACATCGAACGATGGTAGAATTAATTAATATTTATCGTTCATTGCAAGCTAAGGAAGTGACGGTCAGTGTAAGAAGTATTCGTACAGCAATCCATTTAAAATAAATAGCTTTTGTACTAATAATTATTACACCGACTGTATTTACGAATCAACCTGATTACAGTCAGTCTCATGAATATTCCTAACCGCTATGTTTATCGAAGAAGTTTGTCTAAATTAAATGATATGTTCGATGTTTTCAAATAAATGTCTAATTATAAATACGTACATGGATAAACGTACCCACCCAATCAAAAATAAAAAACTATAAACGAACAAAAATCTGAAACGGTGTTAGCCTTCGAATCGTCCACTAAATTGTTCCGTCAGTCGAATAAAGCATTGGACGATTCGTAAGCGGGGCGTCTCCACGCACTAAAACCATAAGAATTTCTCAAACGGACGAGAGAGTTATGGAAACGTCCTGGAACCGTCGTCGTCTACGAGGGGACGACCGGTACGTGTATCGTAAACTTGAAAGCGACGCTGCTCCCGGCATAAATGCATGCGCGCCGTTCTCGTAACGTATCGCCACGCGAGAGGGTACACGTTGAACGCGAAGATGGTCGACGCGAGCA